TATAAAGTATATAAATGTCTTATGGTTACACACACGTGTCCCCACAACGAACCAAAAACCTCCACGATTTTCCTTCACTTTCTATCTCTTTTACTCTCTCATTTTGAAACATTTATTAAGGCAAAAAAAAAAAAAAATACAAAATTCAAAATTTTATTTTGCTTTTCCATTGCATTTTTGTGTAAAAAAACCCCCTCATAAGCCCAATAAAGCCTGAAATAATTTAAAAACAAATTAAAAATAAAATTCATAAAGCTCAATTAAAATGTTAGCTGTTGCAGTTACTCTAACTTCTTGCACTTCTCACTATCTCTCCTTCTCTTTCTTTCTCTCATAAAGAGAGTTTTGTAATTATATTTTTATACTCATTCTCGAACGTGAAATGAGCATATTGGTTTTGTGCACTGTCCGTGTTTTTGTTAATCCGTTTCAGAGCTAGAAAATCGCTCCTGCTCTATTAAATTTATATTGGATCTGGTAGAGTTTGGGCCGTGAATGAGTATTCTGCAGTCGGAACTGCCCGACTGCAACGTGCTTACTATTTTCCTTTCATTTCTGACCCAAAACACTATACAAAAATACAAAAAAAAAAAAAAAAAAAAAAATGTTGGCATAAAATGCAAAACTGATAAAAATTAAATTCGAACAATTTGTTAAATATTCAAATGCAAGTATGTATATGTATTATCTATAGATATATATTATATATCTATATAAAAGAAAAAACAGTAATACAAAAATGAATACCAAGCGATGTCAACATTTTCCAAAGAACCCACAGAACTAAACTTGATCCCAAAACAAACAAAATTTAACTTGATACCAATTTTTAATTAGTTAATTTCTAGTTTAGCTGTTGCAGTACCCCTCAACCCCAACCCCACCCCGCTAAGCCCCATCTTAAGTAGCCAACGAGCAAAAAGTAGTTTTCATTCTTATGCATTACAAAAAATAAATTAGTTTTGCTTATATTTTATTTAAGATAAATTGCGGAACGTTGAAAGTATTTTCGATCGAATCTGAATGAACTTAAAGATGATTTAAAATATTTTCAACGCTCGGCGCTTGCATGCTTTACGACAATAAATTGGCCGACTCTTTAAACTATAACACGAAAAATTGAAAATATTTTTAACAAATACTAAACATGGAGAGCTTGTCACTCTTGCCGCTTCTCAGAAACTCTCAACTCTCTGAAGAAAATTTCATATTTTTTCCATATATGGTTTCCATTGTATCTTTTCTTTTTTCTTTCATTTAATTGTAGGGTCCCCGGTGTGGAAACCACGAGACATGATAAATTTAGGCACAGATCCACAGTCAACAACCCGCAAAGACGATGTGAAAAATTAAAACAGAAAAAGCAAAACAAATACAAATAATGAATAATGAATAAAAACGAGAAATAAGTAAAAGTAACTACATTTCTTTTGTTACATTTTAACTAATCAAGTGTAAGGAGAACAGTGTATACACTGCGAGAAAAACCACACACACACACTAACAATACGAACTAACACTTTTTCACCCCTTTTCCCGCAAATGAAAAAGAAAATCAAAGCAACTACAAAATAAGATTTACAATTTATTTATTATTAAATAATTCAAATACTGAAAGAAATTGTTAAAGTTGCTTTCGAAAACGTGAAAAAGTTTCGAAATTAAGTAAAACATCGAATGAGGAAGAAGAAGAAGCAGAAGTAGAAGAAGAAGAATGACGTTTGTTGTTTTTTGTTTACGTGTTTTGAATGAATGGAACAACAAATACAAAAGACTTTGATTTATATAATATCGATTGTATTTAAATGTGCGAACACATATAATAACGTATAATTATAGCAAAGGATTTTGAACAGAAAAAAGAATCAATTTAATAAGAATTAAAATAAAATATATTAAATAAATGTGAACAAATTCAAATGCATTTGTCGCTGAAAAAGACTTGAAAAGTAAATTTCGATTTAAAATACATTTATTGAGAAGAAAAACGTGAACAAATTGAAACATTGATTGTATTTAGGCTTAGACAATTTCAAATGAAAAAAAAAAAACAAACAAAAACATATAAAAAAAAAATACAAAAATAAAATAATTGAAAAAAAAAAACTAAACACACATATTTAAAATGCAAACTTTACACAAACGTTCTAAAAAACAATTAAAATAAATACAAAAATAAATGAGCAAAATCTTAGAGAGTTAAGCAAACACGAAAAGCAAATCAACAAACACAGCAAAATGTTTAGTTTGTAGTAAGTACACTGAAAGAAAACCCAATTATAAAAACAAGAAAACTTCACATGCATTAAACAAACAAAAACCAAAATAGAACAAATTTAGTCAAAATGTTAAACTAACACGTAATACTAACTAAAAGAAAAAGAAACAAAAACAAAGAGAATTCCATACACTTAAACACACACATACACTAAAACGAAATTCGAATTTGAATTCGAGTTGAGGATTACAAATCCCAAAAAGCAGCCAAATACAACAAAACAAAAACTAAACTTGTTAATCGCGAAAGAAAAAAAAATGAAAATCATTTAAGTAAACTAAAGAAAGAGAAAGAACATGAGTAAATAAATATATAAGAAACAAAACTATACACAGAAAGCAAAACAAGAACAAAAACAAAATGGAACACTCTTCTAGCTAAATTACAATAATATAATTAACAATTAAGAACTTCACTCGACAGCAAGAAAAACAAATACAGGCATAGCTAAATTCCATAGTAACAAAACCCAAAAGTTGAGCACAAAAAATTTCAAATTCATTTTAGAAAAAATGTTTGTTTTTCTTTTTTAATATTTGTTAATGAAAAAATAATAATTATATTGGTTGTGAATGCCGTTTGAATGTTATTCGAATCAGACAGATAAAAATAAAAATAAAAACCTAAACTAAAACCAATTGCTGAATGAATTTCAAAATGCGAGCTCATCATAGCGGGTGCTCACTGTACGTTTGTCAGTGTACCGGAGTGTGGATGTGGATATCATGCATTCATTTTGTCAAATCCTCAGACACAGTAACAAAATCGAAACATAATCAAAAAAAGAGAAAACAAAATCATTTTTAGGTTTCCAATCAAATTGAATTAAACAAAAATAAATAAGCGAAAAAAAAACAAACTTTAATTAAAGTGCAGCATGAAAAAATCGAGTCAACAATATAATAATACAATATACAACAGTCTAATTGATAAAATGAATGAATGTTAATCAAACAATAAGATGAAGAAGCAACAACAAATCACAAACATTTTAACATAATTTTTACTGTTTATATAAGTTTGACAACAAATAAAAAAATAAATAAAATAAAAACGAAATGCAGAACAGTCGCAGTTTCTTGCTGGGAGGAAACTTTAGTCAAATGAAATAGTTAAATTTAAAAAAAAAAAAGAGAAAGAAGCAGCAGACATTTAAGTATATATATATATATATTGAAATCATTCGAAATAGTATAAACATTTTTGTACACATTTGACTATTTTTAATGCATTTTAAATATATACATAAATATATATACATATGTATATGTATATGAATTAATATATGTATAGTTGTACGCATGGTACTTCTTTAGTTTAGTTCAGGCCGCTTCTCTCTGCCTTACCCACTTGTTAATAGTATGTGTATGTGTCTTTTAGTTTGTTTATACAATTGTTATTCGACTCATTTTAATTGATATTATTCGCACACTTACTTTGGATAGAGCAGAAGCAGCATTGGATAGCGAAAGATGGCAACAACAAAAGAAAAGTTAAATAAAAGCAAACAACGTATTACACTAAGAGAAAGGCAGAAACAGAAACATACACACACAAACACATACATAGACCTGCATATGCAAGTTAATTGAACACACACACACACAATAGAGACAACAACAACAACAACAAGTTAAACAGCAAAAACAATTCTAGTTATAAAACTAACAAAATGAAACAAGCATTAAAGAATTCAATTTTTATTATGATATATAATTAACAACTGCAACAACAACAACAACATGCAATCGATGTTAATAATTTTTGAAAAGAACAAGAACAAAACCAAAATGAAGAAAGATGAAATATACAACAAGTAATACACAATGACAAAAACAAAAATTATTATACAATTGCAAAATGCAAATTAACAAAACACTCAAAGTAAGGAAAGTGAAAATATGTGAAAATGAATAAATTACAAAGATCCTTTTGAAATGAAAAAAAAAGAACAAAAACAAAATAAAATGTGAAAGTAAAAAAAAATTTAAATTGTATTTTTATTTATTAATAGATGGGTTTACATACATATTTACAAAATAAATCTTAAATCACACTCGTTTTCAGTTTAGCCTATTTCCAGATCTAGCTAGATAAAAAAAAAAGAGACGAACAAGATCAGAAGGTCATTTAAGTTGTGTATATGTATGCAGCAGTATTCATTTGGTATTTCTATTTGAGTAAAACGAAGCTAGAGTGCTCGCAGAAGCAGAGAGGGTTCTCATTGGTCGACCTCAACGACTCCTACCTGACTTCGGGCTCAGCATTTGAGTCTCAACATTCGGGTCTGAGTGACAGTCGCCCTATATAAATGTCTGCAGCTGTATCATTTTTTCAGTCAGCCCAGGCCTGCTGAGGATCAGTAGTGCAGTGCAATAAAGTGAATTGATGTGCAGTTATCATTCAGCTGCGGATTATAAAGTCAGAGGAAATCCGTATACTTAAGAAATACGTAAGAGGAAAGACGTAGGGAAGAATTTGAGAAAATCCTTAAAGGAAATTTTTATATTTCAAAAAATACATAAGGGGAAATATGTAAGAGGAAATAAGTAATACTAAAAAGAACAACTAAGAGGAAATACTTAGAAGAAATAATTGGATGAAATACTCAGAGAAAATACTAACCTACTTGTTATTCCTGACGTTTGTTTTGGCACGCTAGTTATTTTATACAACAGAGTTGGCAAAAATCTTATCAAATTAATAAAAGCAAAAAAATAAATAAATAAATGGGTTAGAAAATAAATCAACATACGTATATTATGCGCCTAATTATTGTGGTTGATTTTTTTTATATTTTATTATTATTATGAACAAAACAATAAATAAATAAATTTTTTTTTAATGTCAAAAAATTGTAAAATATATTTATTTGTATGTTTTCTTCCATTTTTCATCCAGCATATAGCTCCCCGCATATTTTCACACATATTAGCCTACTTTTATTCACAATCTAATATATTTAGAAAGCAAATTTAATTTCAAAATACTGCAGCTCCGATTAGTGCAACGCTTGCTCGCAGAGATTTCTAGATGCTAATACTTATAGCAGTTCCCACAAAACGAAAATCACATTGGAAGTAAGAGAAATTTCCAGATGCCGCCAGAACGAAGCGTCTCGACGCTGCTTGCCAAGCATAAAAGAAACGAGCGAAGTTTCCAGAAAGTAGAAGACGCCGATAGAATCGCAGCGAAAGATGCAAATTGCTGAAAAGAAATATCCATCAAGCTGTCGTCGTCTTTTGGTAGCCAACTCTCTCCCAAGTCTATAATTATAAGCCTTGTTAACATTCTTGAAATAAATTTATTAAATACTTTTTTTCGTTCATATTTTACAATTAATTATCGTACTAAAACGTACTAGTTTAATCATATTTGTGTTTTTGTTTGATGTTTAATAAATAGCCCAGGTGCTTTAGAGCGGAGGTGTTTTTGTTCTTTTCAGTTATTGTTGGAAAAGCAGTTTGGATTGTTGCAGATATGATTAGTGGATAATTACATTAGGGGAAACGGTTTCAATTTTGATATAATTTAATTTATTTTGGTGTTTTCTTTTCTATTTTTAAATTTACATAATTAGGTAACCGATCAGTCTCTCCAGCTCAAAACACTTTCAGCTATCCTTATGGTGTGTAAGTGAATCAGTGTTTTGTATTCTATCTTATTTTATCGCGCGATCTCGATTCTTATATCGCATTTGCACTTATAACTACACATCGGTACTAAGTGGGGAAGGTAGGTATATGTATAATAATCAGGGAAATTCTTAACCATAGTTTTGGCATGCTATGCGTTCGTTATACACTTAAACATCATCTCAAGCCTGAGCCGACAAATGAATTTTGTGTTCCCATTATTAATTAGGATAAGGATACTTAACTAAAATTACGAGCTTAAATTATAAAATATACTATACAAAATTTCGCAGAAGGTGGTTGTTAAGCCTTAACATGGCCTCGATTTTAGTTGGGCAACAGCTCCGCCAGTTTATTCCTTAAACTGGGCGACACTGAGTCGGGGAACTTGATGTCGAATGAGACGATCAGATCACCGCGCCTCGATGGTTCCTTAGGGAAAGGTAAGCCACGCCCACTAATCCGTTTCACTGTCGTGGGCTTGATCACCTCACCCTGCGTGTTGATTGGTATACGTACACTGTCGCCCTGCAGCGTCGGCACCGACACCGTGGTGCCGCACAGCGCCTGCTTCAGAGTGACCGGCGCGACGTAGCGCAGGTCGCTGCCCTCGCGCTTGAATTGCGAATGCGGCTTGTCGCGTATGATGAAGATGATGTCCGCGGGCACTTTCTGTGGTGCCTGGTCGCCTTCTCTGGGGAATGTGATCTTGGTGCCTGCCTTCCAGCCAGGCTTTACATTGATGCTCAGCACCTTTTCCTCTTTGCGCGCCGTGCCCGTGGCCATTGACATGCGCGAGATCTTCATTTTCTTTGTGCAGCCTTTGTCAACCTCCTCCAGCGTCACATACAAATCATGTTCGATGGGCGGGTCCTGTTGCTGTCGCTTCCGGCTAGGCGCCTGTGCGTTGAATGATTGTGAGCGGAAGGCGCCCATGGGGTTGCCACCAAAGCCGCCACCGCCGAACATCTCATCGCTGCCAATGTTCATGAAGACTTGCTCGGTACCATCACCGGAGCCACCACCAAAGAATGGGCCGAACGGATCAGCCGTACCGAAGATGTTCTGTGAGCCAAAGAACTGGGCAAATGTGGCACGTGGATCGCCATGGAACTGATAAGTGTAAGCGCCCGATGGACCGCCTCCCTCTTGGCCGGGTGGACCGCCCTTGAGGCCATCCTCGCCATACTGATCGTAAATGTCGCGCTTCTTCTTATCTGAGAGCACTTCATACGCCTCGGCTATTTCCTTAAAGCGTTCCTCGGCCTGTGGGCTCTTGTTCTTATCCGGATGGTATTTGAGTGCCAATTTTCGGTACGCTTTCTTAATGTCGTCGTCTGTGGCCTTCTTGTCAATGCCCAATATCTTGTAGAAATCTTTTCCCATTTTGCTTTACTGTAGCGCCGCGCACTTAACTGCAAACAAATAAAAGAAAGCACACAATTATTATGATGTGAAATATAACACACGTCCACATGTACGTATATAGATTTATTTGAATGTAAAGCAAAAACAACAGCAAAGGCGAGTCTGTCGATTGTATTCTCGACGCGTCGCTCAATGGAATTTGCTAGAAGCTTTGAGTTGTGCAACGACAACGAAAGCAGCTCTGCCTCTGTCGCTGCCTCAGTCTCTGCTTCTGCTKCTGCTGCTGTGTTGTCACTCAACGCGTGACGTCGACGATGTCGTATTTAGGTTTTAAATTTCAAATTTTGCTTAAATGCATTGTTTTGCTTATCATTTCAATTGTAATTTGCTTGTGATCGTCCAAAATGCAGGTCGAAAACAATCTATTTTAAGCTACAATTCATTTGTTAGACATTTACCTTTATTAGTTTGGCAGCTGCTTGTTAAAATTCTCCTTCTAAGTTTACTTTTACTGGTCAATAAACTTACAAATTTAGCTGCTACACGAATTTCTATTAATCACAGTTATAGAATTCACTATATTTTTAAAAATATTTCTTGAATATTGTCTTTTATATACTGTTTTTTATATTTCTCTCTTGTGTGAACTACACACTAGTTATACGTTTCTCTGATTTTTGCTAAATGAGTCGAAACGACAGCGTGCCTTGCCTTTATATAGACTCGGAGCAGTCTGCTCGTCGAAAATTCTCGATGCTTCTAGCAAAGTAGGGTTGCATCCGGAAACTGGCATCTCGATAACAATTAGCGCCAAAAATATAATTTTTTGAATTAATTGTAAAAAAATTTTCGAATTAAAGTAAAGATATTTTAGTTAATAAATTATTTTTAAGTAAGCATCGATTAGACATGATGGGATTAATAAATTGACCATGTTTTTTAAATACTAATTATCGATACTTGGATGGTCGAATTGCAGCCGTAGGTAGCATCGATACTCTTCGTCAACTGACGTTTGAGCTATCGAATATATATTCGACAGAATGTGTGGCTATCGGTATTATCATCGATAGAACTGCAGCCAAACCGCAGCCGAACAACAAAAAACATTTGGTTCAATTATAAAAATGGTTGCTTCTCGGTGTCAACATCAAGCATCCTCCGTTTAAAAAGTTTAGATAGTATCAAATTAGACGAACAGTGTACTCCCAGCCGTAGGGCCGGATTGTGCATTATCCAAAACACAATATTGCAACATTTTCACAGTTCAGGTAAGTGAAATCATACATATGTATGTGTATCTGTATGCCTACTCACATATGCGATTTGTGTACTTGCGTATGTGTGTGCGTGGCTCTGTGTTTATGTGTGAGCAAGCATATTTTGGAGCCGCAAGTTTTCCGACATTTGGCCAAGACGTTGAAGGACGCACAGCTTGAACTAGTTTCTCGCACCCAAACAGTCAAATGTGTCACGTTCCAAAGCAAAACCTTGACCGATCGCCCGTCCACCGAGGACCACCCCCCCCCCCATCGCTCCACATATTCTAGCAATGAGTGTTGCGCAAACAAAAAAATCGCCAACATGCTAAGTACGCCCATTGTAACCGCCCCCGGCCCTGTCGCCTGTCCAAAAGTATTACAGATGCCGGTACACGGCCAGCGCTACTTAGTCACACATGAGACGCTAGTGAGGCACAGTCGAGCAGCGCATAAAAATAGTCATTCATCGGACAATTGGCGATAGCATTTTGCACAAACATTAATAGCACTTTCGCCATAAATTTCAGTCTCTCTTACTCTCTCCCTCTCTCTCGGTGTCTGGCATACAGAACATCCATCTAGTATACGTACTTGGCTGTTTCATTGAATAAATTTGTCTAGATTGGGGCCTACACAACTGCCGGGTGGACTACACGACGTCACTGAGAGCTCTGAGCCCTAATATACTGCACACACTCATTCGTCGAGTTCCACAATTTGCGATTTCATTATTATCAACAGTTGTTGCTAATAGCGCTAACTGTGTGTAGATGTGTGAGTGTGTGCATTTGTTATTGTTATCAGCGCCCGCTATGAGCAACTGCAGTCAGTGAGCGATTTGTAGCGCACCCAGCTATCCGGCTGCCTGGCTACCCGGCAATCCGGCTGCTCGGCAACGATCGAGCCAATCATCGTGCACTCTGGGGCGCCAGCGCCAGTTCGTGCCATCGCAGCAGTGGTCAGTACTCGAATACGCGTGAGACGATGTCGTTGCGTTGACGGCGGGATTTCATAGCGCACAGAAGAACTCGCCAGCAATTAGACGGTGTGTGTGCGTGCGTGCGTGTGTGTGTCTGTGTGTATATCTAAATATACATATATTTATAAATATATATACTTAATCCTATGCGTTAATGCCTGTGTGTGTGTGTTCGCTCCAAATGGAGTTACATCCAAAGCGTATAATGTGCAAATCCCCTAGCAATTAGTCTAAAAATAGAAAACATTTAAATAGACACTCTTTCGTAATAACTATAGGGAGTACAAAGAACTGCTGCATAAAAGCTACATATAACTCGAACTCGAATTCTCTCACTCTGACTGGCTACGTGCGTGTGTGTGTGCGTGTCTGTGTGTACTATATAACTGAGTAATCGGAACTATTTGGCATAAGTCTCGACCACAAAATCTGAAAATGTTTTAAAAATAGCCCGAACTATATGCAAAATTTTCAAATACCCACACTTAACACACTCTTCTCTAGTCTGGCGCATAATATAAAAATCATCGAGAATTGGATTCGTTTCTGTAGGAATTTTGACCAAGTCACGCCCAAACCCAACACAGGCAGAGGCATTGCCGTCAAACGTAAATATTGATGAGAATTCTCGTGCGTTCAAAAGATTCGATTGACGGACTTAGAAATATACAAATATATAGATATATATGCATATAGGTTGTGGTTTGTGCAATGTTTCGGTAACGAAAACCTTCGAATTTACAAATAGCAAGATTGTATCTGACAGATACTTTTGCTCCCTGCTTTGAATATTTGTTGCTCTTTTTTTTGTATATTTGTATATATGTACATATATATTATTTTTTTATTTTCTTCAGCTTCAGTGCTTTTGTCGTTGTCGTTGTCGTCGTTGTCTCTTTTCTTATATTTTTAGACGCACAATTTTTGTATTCTTTATTTTGATTTCTGCTGGTAGCGTATTTAAATTTTTGGATTCCACTCTAGCGTACCAGCAACTGCACACACACACGCACACATACAGAGAGAGATATGTATCTATATCTGTATCTATATATCATATAAATGCTTGCGTTCATCCAACATGTGTTTGAAATTGCAGCTCATTCGCATTAATCTTTTGGCCAAAGCACTTGCCACAGTCTCGGCAAATGTTTGCGCCTATTTATATCAAATCTTAGAGTTGGAAAAACATTGCGCATTTCGCTAATACTAATTGCTGTTTTGGACATTTAATTAGATCGCGCAAGCCATTTGCGCACAGACATTTGCCTTCCGGCATACGTAGTGCGATAGATAGATATATTATATTATATGTACATATATAGGTATATTTCCGACAGGCGTTCCCTTTATGTATATGCGGACTGTATTTCTTGAGAATGTGTGAAACTGTTTTGTTTAGCTAATGCGTTATCAGAAATAGATACAGATGGATGTCAACAGCTGTGCGTTGGGTTTTGACAACTGAGTTCTTGACGAACAACAGATAATAGAACACAATTTATATATTATATAGCCTGCATATCGTATATCTCTATATACATGCMAATTATATTATAATAACTGCAGGTTTTCTTTATGCACCGTGACCATTGCGCCTCAGAACTTATCCAAAATATAAATACATAATATTTTATAATATATATTTTACAGCACGCCTCTCTGACGTCCAGTTCTTGTATATTTTGCGCATTGCGGCCAAATGTCATATACCACATGCATGCATACATATATGGCCCACTATAAATATATATGTATGTGCATACGTACGTGTATTGTAGCACTTCCGTCCGTTACAATGTGATGCCCGTTGCCCAATGGTTCAACAAAGAAAGCAACGGCAACAGCAACGGCAACGGCAGCATCGTCTTGGAATGACATTCGTAGGAGCAATTTATGCGGCAATTATGACGCTCTTGGTGAAAATTCGCTAGCAGCTGAAATATATGGAACATATCCATATCCATGTACCGTCGCCAACACAGTCCGGCCCCAGAATTTTTGTTTATAAAATTCCGTGCAATCTTAGTCATGTTCTCGATCTTCTCTCATGGTGTGTGTGGCGTACAAATAAGGCGCGAAAAAACGCAAACAGCAGCAGGCAATGGGATTTTGGTTTATTTTCGAATTGAGGTCTATACACGGTGGGTGTTGAGGGACTCGAGGCGGTGGGGGCGTGCGGCTGGCCCCTTCCAACGGATGGGAGCAATGAACAGCCCGTGTGGGGCGGGGGGCTGGCGACTTCCTTGTTGCTGTAGCCTGCCAGCAGCTGCTGTTGCTGCTGCCGCTGGTCGACTATGCTGACGCTGTCAGGCAGCTTCTAAAACTGAAATGACAGTAGTTTTTATTTTTCCATTCTGCTTTTGAATTTTTTTTTTATTTTATATAAATATTTTCAGGCGCTCAAAATTTTTGTTTGTAACGCAATCGTTGCAGGCCTTTAACCCATTTGGTTAGCATAGCGCGACCAGGACCAGGACATGGCTGAGAAGGACAACAAGGATAGCACACAGTGCGCCGTCTTTGACCAGACGCCTGGCTCCCAGCAGAAGAAAATCAATGTCGTTGTGCGTTCCCATTTCACGGTGAAGCACGTCATCACACTGATTGGCACGCAGTTTGCGTATGGAAAATTTGAGCTGTTGCTACAGCCGCACGGCGAGAAGGATCTGGTGAGTATTGAATGCCCGTACTGCGATCATCAGAGTCTTACTTATGAATTCCTCATGTATCTATAGGTTTATCTGAATACTCTGGATACGCAGCTGTTGTACGATGTGCCTGGCTTTGAGCCGAAGCTGAAGAACAACCTGGTGCTGCTGCCAGAGGGCACCTGGGATGGCAATGTGGCCAAGCGTTATGATTTGACCATTAAGAAATCTGCTTCAACAGTTAGCAAGCAGCCAGAGATCACAGAGAACACGACAACGACAAATACTGCAACAACAACAACAGCAGCAGCAATACCAACAACAATATCGACAACGACGATTAAAACCGGTGAGAAGAAGAAGCGCACGACAACAACAACCGGAGAAAAGAAGAAAAAGTCGCCAAGCAAAACCAAGGCAAGCGTCAGTCCCACATCTGAATCAGCAGTTGAGTTATCAACAGAAGCCACAGTTGCCGCTGTGACTGCGACTGCGGCCACACCCACAACGCCTAGCAAGATCAGTACAAAAGTGAAAACCAAAGCCAACGAAAGGAATGGCATTGCAGAGAAGAGCACAGATCAGGTGGACGAAGGTGTGAAGCTACAAAGTGCAACGGTCAACGTAGCTAAGGACGCGCCAACCAAAGTTGAAGTAGCCGACCCGCTGAAGGAGCAGTTGTCGCAGAACAGTATCATTGATGATGTAGCTCCCGAGCTCT